CATAACCATGATCATCTATAATGTGTTTAATTTTAATAGATACATTACATCATTCAGTACAATTCATATACCCAGCCATTATGATTTGTCAATATTGTGATGTTGTGACCATTCTAGCTATTTCAAAAAACCATATTTGAGCAAGCCTTGGATTAGGGTAATTTGTGAAATATGAACCTAATCGTTGATTTACACTATTGGAGTATCTAGTCTTTCCTAGATTTGCTTAACACACCATTTTGCTTCTAACCTGGCACAATATTCAGTGCATTAAATCAATATATTAAAAGTACAGAGGTTTAGGCTATCAAAGATTATTGTAAAAACTGATATGTGGAAAACTTTTTCCATAACAAAGTGTCATATCTATGCAGTTTCGCATGATTGCTTGACAATTTATTAAAATGAATGTATTGATTTAAGCCAAATGTAGGAAAAAATGCATCCAAAAGAGGACTAGAATTAGCCTTTTAATTGCCCTGCCAATGAATTTAGATTACAGGAATTCAACGATTCCCCCAAATTTCACAATATATTGAAGACTTGGATTCTAAATTCTTTTTATACTTTTATTAAAGTTATATAATTATTTACACTCATATTTTGGGCATTGAAAACAGACATCAGTGTGTATTTTTGCATACATTAAATCATAAAAATAGTAGAAGCAGTGTTACTTTGTATGTCAAAAAGAACATAGTGTCAGGCAAATAAAGAGCCACAAAAGAAGCAAACTCTTCCCCAGAATATCTTGGGAAATAGCCATTCCGGTGCCCATAAGTAATGAATATTAAATGCAAGCTCTTGTCTCCTTGATCAAAATATTCATGGTGATCTTAAAATGGAATATGAATTCAGGAGGCATCCATAAAGAAACTATTTTAGCAATAGAAGACTTCAGTTAACCTCAGATATGCTGAATTACAAAGATTGGAACTGTGTAGGCAAAGTTTTCCCATGGCACTTTATTGAACTGAAAGTAGGATTTTGAAAAAGCAGAGTAGAAAGGGTATTGACACTTTTGAACTTTGGTGTTGGAGAAAACTCTTGAGAATGTGATGAATAGCCAAGAAAACAAGCAAATGGATCACTGAACAAATCGATCCAGAGTTCTTACTCAAGATACAAATTACCAGGATGAATTTTTGGACACATTATGTGAAGATCTGACTTCTTGATAAGTTTATAATGCTGGAAAAAGTGGACCCCAAAAAATGAGGATATCCAACACAATATGGATGTTTCCACTACAGTGGTAAAGTGTGCACTATTGGAAGGCCTGAGGGACCAAAGACCAAGCTGGAGAGAAACTATCCTAGAAAAGAGCTATCTATAAGGTTGTTTAGAGTCATCATTGATTTGATAGCAGATTATCAATCAATCAGAGGTCCTCAACAACTAGGTCTATCAGAACTCTATCAGAGCAAATGCAATTCCAGCTTATATCCAAGATCTAATATAAGACATTTAATAAATAACTTTATTAAAATTACAAGTTTGATTATTTTATTTATTTATTTTATTTTCAGTATTTATATGCCGCCCAATCCCAAAGGACTCAGGGCGGTGTACAAAGTTAAAACAATGATAAAACAATAAAATAAAGCAGTCATACCGCGAGTCCGATCATATCCCGGCGCCCCGGGGACATCAGCCCCAGGCCTGCCGGAACAGGAGGGTTTTAACGGCCTTCTTAAAGGCTGGCAGGGTGGGAGTAGTTCGAACCTCGGGGGGAAGCTGATTCCACCAGGTCGGAGCCACCACAGAAAAGGCCCTTCCCCGAGGGCCCGCCAGCCGACATTGTCTGGCCGACAGGACCTGAAGGAGGCCCAATCTATGGGACCTCACCGATCTCTGGGAGCTATGCGGCAGAATGCGGTCCTGTAAGTAACCTGGCCCTATGCCCTGAAGGGCTTTAAAGGTGATAACCAACACCTTGAATTGCGTCCGGAGACCCACAGGAAGCCAGTGCAGCTCACGGAGGATAGGTGACACGTGGGCGTACCTTGGCGCGCCCACAATCGCTCTTGCGGCTGCGTTCTGAACCAACTGCAGCCTCCAAACGCTCTTCAAGGGTAGCCCCATGTAGAGCGCATTACAGTAATCCAGTCTTGAGGTGACAAGGGCTTGAGTGACTGTGAGTAAAGCCTTCCGGTCCAAATAAGGCCGCAACTGGTGCACTAGGCGAACCTGTGCAAAGGTCCCCCTGGCCACAGCCGACAGATGTTGTTCCAGATTTAGCTGTGAGTTCAGGAGGACACCCAAGTTGCGTGCCTGCACTGAGGGAGGTAAATTTGCCCCCCCCAGGACTAATGATGGACCATCCAGTTGGCCTTTGGGAGGCAAGACCCAGAGCCACTCGGTCTTGTCAGGGTTGAGTCTAAGCCTGTTCACCCCCATCCAGACCCTCACATCTTCCAGGCACCGGCACATCACGTCGACTGCTTCACTGAAAGGACACGAGGTGGAGATATATAATTGGGTATCATCCGCATACTGATGATACCTCACCCCGTGTCGCCGAATGATCTCACCCAGTGGTTTCATGTAGATGTTAAAAAGGAGGGGGGACAGGACCGAGCCCTGAGGCACCCCATAATCGAGGCGCCTAGGGGTCGATCTCTGTCCGCCCGCCAACACCGACTGCGACCTGTCAGAGAGGTAGGAGGAGAACCACCGCAATACGGTGCCGCCCACCCCCACCTCTCCGAGACGATGCAGAAGGATACCATGGTCGATGGTATCGAAAGCCGCTGAGAGGTCAAGAAGCACCAGGATAGAGGAATGACCCCTATCCCGGGCTCGCCAGAGGTCATCGGTCAGTGCGACCAAAGCAGTCTCAGTGCTGTAGCCGGGCCTGAAACCAGATTGAAAAGGGTCCAGATAATTGGTTTCATCCAAGGATCGCAAGAGTTGAGACGCCACCACCTTCTCTACAACCTTCCCCACAAAGGGGAGGTTGGAGACGGGACGAAAGTTCTTCAAAACAGCTGGGTCCAGGGAAGGCTTCTTGAGGAGGGGCCTCACCACCGCTTCCTTTAAAGGTTGCGGGAAAGACCCCTCCATCAAGGAAGCATTGATTATCGCCTGGAGCCAGCCTCGTGTCACCTCCCTACTGGCCGAAACCAGCCAGGAGGGGCACGGGTCCAATAAACAGGTGGCGGCATTCATTGCCCTCACGGCCTTGTCCACTTCATCAGGGGTCACAGGCTCAAACTCGCTCCAGATAATATGACTAAGACCAGCCCCTGGCAACTCGGCTGGCACTGCCCAGTCAGAGTCCAGGAACCTCTGAATCTGAGCGATTTTGTCCGAAAGAAACTGAACAAACTCCTCAGCTCTCCCCTGCAAGGGTTCCTGCGCCTCCTCCACTTTAAGAAGGGAGCGGGTCACCCTAAACAAGGCGGCCGGGCGAGATTCTGCGGACGTAATAAGTGCGGAAAAGTGAACACGCTTTGCCGCTCTTATCGCCACTAAATAAGTCCTAAGATAGGCTCTTAATAGTGATCGGTCAGATTCAGAGTTACTGGCCCTCCAACGTCGCTCTAGACGTCTCTTGTGGCGCTTCATCTCCCGGAGCTCCTCAGTAAACCAAGGCGCCCTCCGGGGACCACCACCACAGAGAGGTCGCAAAGGCGCAATTCGATCCAGGGCCCCGGACGCCGCCTCATTCCAGGCCGCAACCAGGGACCCGGACGAGTTATGGACAAGGGAGTCAGGTATTTCCCCAAGCTCCTCCTGGAACCGATCTGGGTCCATTAGGCGCCTGGGGCGGAACCACCTAGTCAGTTCCCTCTCCCTGCGATGGGGGAGTGATGCTCTGAAGTCCAGCCTCAATAGGAAATGATCTGTCCATGACAAGGGCGAGATCTCTATTCCCCTTAATTCCAGATCATGTCTCCATTGCCCCGAGAGAAACACAAGGTCGAGTGTGTGACCACCCCTATGGGTCGGATCCTGAATTACCTGGGTCAGGTCCATGGTTGCCATGGAAGCCATGAACTCCTGCGCCGCCTCTGAGCGATCGCCGAGTGATGGTAGGTTAAAGTCCCCCAGTACTATAAGTCTGGGGAACTCCACCGCCAACCCGGCTACTGACTCCAGCAACGCAGGCAGGGCTGTTGCAACGCAGCTGGGAGGTAGGTACGTCAGCAGCAAGCCCAACTGAACCCGTGAACCCAACTTCAATAGGAGGGACTCACACCCAACAACCTCCGGGGCAGGAATCCCACGAGGACTCAAGGACTTCCGAGCGATGACTGCCACTCCCCCACCCCTGCCCTGATGTCAAGGCTGATGAAGCACCACAAACCCGTCCGGGCACATCTCTGAGAGGGAAACACCCCCCTCAGGGCCCAGCCAGGTTTCGGTTATACATGCCAGGTCCGCCCCGCTGTCCAATATTAAATCACGGACAAGGGGGGCTTTGCTGACAACGGACCTGGCATTAAGCAACAGCAGCCTACAATTAGGGCCCTGTACTCCCCTGTCACCAGTACTACAGGATGAGCCTTTTGAGGGGCCGGAACAAGGAATCGCTCTAACATAGCGAGTCCTCGTTCCCCAAAGATGGCCTGCCCCTCGGCTCCCGCCATATCTGCCCATCCCAGTCATGACCGGGATGCTCCGACCTTTTCCCCTCCCCGGAGTACCCCCACCCTCACCAGCCTTCTCCCTTCCTGACCGGACTCGCTTTCCATACAAACCAAGCCCAAGGGTAAGTCCTGCCCCCCCTATTTTTGCTATTGCACTCAGCAGAGGGGGTACCAGGCTCCACCCCCGACTCCACCATTCTCATACCCCAAACACTCAATACACATTCACACTCAATTAATATACATAAAAATATTCACATTCATATGCCCTAAATACAATAATAAAATTTACACATAACAGGGCCACCATTCATCTACATGCATACTCACACCCACAACAAACGTTCTCTAAAAAAATAATATTGCCCCTCTGTGTCCCAGGCTAGTCCAGTGTGGCCGGCTAGGTGATCATTAGGTACTTGTCTTGGGGCAGACCGTACTTGGCCTTATGCTCCTCAAAGACCTGGGTCAACTTCTCTAAGTACCTCTCGTGCAGCTCATCAATGGCTTCTCCGGACATCCAACAATTGTGTAAAGTCAACCCAGCCACGGCGGGATGGCTAGTCAAACTGGGGCTCCTTAAAGCTGAGTTGATTTCAATTGCTGGGTTTGCAGCCGGGAGTGGAGAAAGTAACAACACCTCTGAGCATGTACAGAGTAGATTTCTAAGCCACAAGCTCGCCTCTCCCACTCCTTTCACGATGTGGCATTCGATGACAGGCCCGAACTCCTGGAAGAGGACGCGCAGCTCGCCGCTGGTGCAGGTGGCCGAGACGTTGCCCACAAAGGTCTTAACGGTGTGGGTGGGCCTCGGGCGGGAGAACTCGACAACAACCACGCGGTGGCAGTGCAAAAGGTGCCCATTAAGCTTCTGGATGGCGCACTCGGCTGCCATCTCGTCGCACAGTTGGATGAAGGCGAACTGCTTCATGAGGGCCACCTTCACCACCACGCCTGGCACGGCCGCCTCGAAGAGGTCGCGCAGCTCCACCCGCGGTGCCCCCCCCCCCGGGCACGCCGTCCACGAAATAACACAATAGGCATATAAGCTCTGAGGAAGATTTACTTATCTATTACCCTAGCATTTCTAATTAGAAATGCTATCACTGACTCTAAAGGCCAGAGATGTTTTCACTGAAAAGTAATAATGGTCAAGTATACTGTTGCTGAGTTTAAAATGTCCCCAATGTTAACTTCTAGCGGCAAGATAGTAAAAATAACTTTATTCAGAATGTAACCCTTTTGTAATCCAATGGACTTTTTTTTACAAGATTATCTGTTGGCAAATACTTCTTTCAGTTCTTGTAAGCTCATGTTTAAGTCATCAGTAATAGTATCTTGGAGGATAATTAGTAGGGCTGAGCAACTTTTTCAAATGCTTAGCAAATTTTGTTATATGAGTGAAGCAACCATCCTTGAAACATTAAGTGGCTGAATTCTTTAGAAGGTTCGTACAGATTCTAAAAAATTGGTCTCAATTATCTATGGAGGCTTGTATATGCACATAGACAATACTTCCCCTGAGACCACCAGTCAAAGTAGCTATGCTTTTCACATTTTCAATAATTAGTTAGGAGTAGTAAAGAAGGATGGATTAAGGAACTTGAATTAATCATTTGCATTTATTTTCATTTCCAAGAGATCTAGGGCAGATACTCTTGTCTTTTTTGTTGGTTTAATTTTGTTTGATTTTTTTTTTTAGTAGCCTAGTTTGATAAGGGCAAGTGGAAATTTACTCAGCAGATACTATATCTGACCACAAATAAATTAAGTTTTTTTAAAGTGTAAAAAGATAACAATGGGTAGAAGTTGCTGATCTATAGCTTCCAAAAACCTGCAACGTTGTTCATACTGAAGCAATTGAAACAGATAAAATTCTGGCCTATACAATGACAAAGCTGTCCCAACATAGCCTTGACCCAGTCCTTTGGGCAGAAGACAATTCAGAAATGGTTTCCTCAGTTGAAGATGGTGATCTGAAGGCAGGCAGAGAGTTGAATTTCATCTCTTGTCATGAATTCAGTCTATCTTATCCTTCTTGATGTTTAACTTTTATCTGAAATCACTAAAAGAGATCATTGGATATGTGAGTTAAAATGTTACTAAGTTGTTGATGACACTCGGCTTTATCTCAGTTTTTCACCTAATAAAGAGAGGCAATCAACATTCTGAAGGAGAACCTGAGTGAAACAATAGATTGGGTTAGTAAACTGGGATTCAAACTAGGCAAGATGGAGACATTGTAATTTGTTCCTGAAGACTTTGCACATCTTCTAAAGTGTTGGATACAAAACTGTTCAATTGGATATTAAAGTGGCCTTGGTAGTTATGATAAGGTTTGATCTACTTCAGCTAACTAATCAGCATACCTGATATGGATAGAGATAGCTTTCAAACAGTTGTGCCAGTTTTGCGTAACTTCCTAGTTTGAATTATTGGAATGTATTATAAGTTTGGCTGCCTGTCAAAAAGGCCTAGAAACTTCAATTAATCTAAAAGAGGGAGGTAGAGTATTAATTTGGATTGTCTAATGGAACCATATTATGTCATTTTCACTAGCTATAGTCTACTTTGGAGGCCAAATTTGATTGTTAGAACTAATCTATAACACTCAAAATGGCTTTGGGGCAGTATCTTTACAGAGTTTGACTTCCCAGGACCTGTAAAACTTTTCAGTTCCAGTTTAAAGAACTGGTTTGATGTTTCAAACTTTAATGTTATTGCTATTTATTAATTATGATTTTATATTCTCTCTGCTTGTTCTTTAGGTTTATATTTAATGTGTGTTTGTGTGTTTTATATATTTAATTTTACTTGCATGTATTTTAAATGTCAGTCTTATTATCTTCATGAGAAATGTATATATAGTTCTGGAAGCTATAGTACAGACAGGATACAACAACCCAGACTGGGTCCAAGTTGGCAAAGGGGTATGGCAAGGCTCTATACTCTCCCTTATTTATTTAACTTATTTGCTGAATCTATATTAAGAAAAGCTGGATTGGAGGAAAATGAGTTTTAAACTTGGAGGAAGAAACATCAACAACATGCTCTATGCTGATGACACTTCCCTGAGAGCTGAAAATGCAAAATATTTGCAAGCTCTAGTAATAAAAGAGCACAATGAAAAAAAAAACAGAATGAAAATTAAATATAAAAAAGATCAGAAAAATGGCTTTAGGTAAAACAACTAACCAACAAATTGGCAAAGAAGATATCAAAGTGGTAGATAGTTTCTGCTTCTTAGAAAACAGTCGAGAAATCTGGATATGATGAGGCTCAAATTATCCCCCTTTGGATACACTGGAAATATGGATATAGCGTGATGCTTGTAAATAGATACTTATTTTACAACTCTAAATCCTCTTCTGCAGCAAAGGGAGAGAATACTTCTCTGCTTGTAGGAAGTCTATGCCTCCCTCCCCAAAACCACATCACAAGGTCTATTTGCAATATTTAGGAAAGAATATTTATGCCAGTTTGAATAAGTGGCATGGAGAATGGAAAAAGCTATTCCTATCTGGTAAAAACAAAAACAAAAACAAATAAAACAACAACTATAAAAAACAAATTTTGCATGTGGATGGTTGGTCTCAAATGCGCTTGCGTGATTTTTTTTAAAAGGACAAACATGTAGCAATCTAGTATTTTGTGCACTATATTATTAAGGCTCTTTTCATGCTGTTAAAGCAAAGTGGCTTGACAAGCTGAAAGCTAAAATTTGGCTGGAAAAGAGAAAAGTGTTCCATTTACAAAATGGCTGCTAGCAATATGCTAAGTGAAAGGAACATGATGTACTTCAAAACTTACCGAGACATATTTCACATATTTATAAAGGGTGACAAACACTCTTCCTACACACTGACCTATTCAATTGGTGTACTGAGTGAAATGGATATGTTCCCTGCCTGAAAAGCGACATGTGTGTGACTTTTGTTCAAGGCTTCCACACATTTTGAAAGGCATTTTATTTCTTGGCGATGCCTTGTGGCTTCTCACAGACGTCTAGATCTGTTTCTACATCACTTGTGGTTAGCTATAGCTAGTAATAGCCATATGGTTCGCATTATGTCCTTATAGCCATGTTCTTTCTTTAAATCTAGCAACATGCATGGGTGGATTTTAACTAGGCAACTTAGTTTATAAACATTTTGTCAGTTGTCAGGATATAATTTTTCTGCGGTACAATCAGGGAGGCTGAGGACTTATGTAGATCTTTTCAAATTATACACAGAGTGGTAAGAAACAGAAAAGATCAATGCATTCTTGAAATGGAGTTGCCATTTAGATATCAGGTTTGGATTGGAGATAGATAGATAGATAGATAGATAGATAGATAGATAGATAGATAGATAGATAGATAGATAGATAGATAGATAGATATTGATATATATCTACTGATGCATCAGTCATAGGAGCTCATCCCTGTCACCTAAACTCTATACCGTACAAAGACTTCTTACAATTCTAGAAGATGATTGAAAAGGTTTAAAAAGAGAGATGTTGCTGTTATGAGTTTGATAACTGCTGTTTAGAAGATATGTAAAAGCTTTTTGGACAGTCTGAGAGTGCAGTTCATCAGAAGAGAAGAAATTGCAGTATGTCTAAACAGTGGAAGCCACAAGTTTCCAAAGTGTACAAGGGCAATCTGAAGGCTTCCAGAAAAGGATCTGCAATTGTTTGGGCTAAAGGCTCCAGAAAGATGAGCAGAAACAAGAACAGCAGAACAGAAAGCAACTGATAAGATTATGTCTCCATAAAATGAACTAAGCTAAAAAGTGTTTATGTATCTGTGTGTGTGTGTGTGTGTGTGTGTGTGTGTGTGTGTACATGCATGTGTGCACATGCAAATAACAAATACTTTAATCCCCAAATTAGCTTATTTAAGAGTTAAAAGAATTCTCCACTCAAGGCAGGAGGGAAAAACCAGAAGCAGAACAAGCAACTTGCTAATAAAACAAAACAAAAATTTTATAAAATATATAATTGAAAATGGAGGGGGCGGTGGGGAGAGAGACAGTTTTTATAGAAAATAAAATTCTTAAAGTACCAACAGAGCAATTTTGAAAAAATAGAAGAGTTCTTATAAAATAAATTTGTTTTAAATAACTAATACACATCTGGACCTGCTTAGTTTCTAAATGTTCTATTAATAAATGGTTGCTTGGCAAACTGATTTGTATGCATTGCTTTGCTTGTTGCCATCCTGTATTTGAACCCATGAGGAATGCATTATACAGCAAAATCTGCCTCTATTTAACCCCACACAAAGTTCCTCCCATATCATGAAATCTTGGGGAAACTGCATTGGTCAGCCCCATGCATGGCTGGAAGAAGGCTGAAAACAGTGCAGTAGGCTTAGAAGAGTCCTGGTCAGTAGTGAGATATGAGTGGCTATTACTTCTGAGGACAGAAACTCCATTAGCACCAGTTAGGACTCCCCGCCCCTGCCCCCCCACAAGGGATGGTATCCTTTGGAACTGAAGATTGGGAAGATGGATGTTTACATTGTTGGCTTTTTGTGAACTGCCAGGAATCTCTTGACAATTTTAATAATAAATAAATGACGTATGTAATATATATTATACTATGCTACTTTGCTGAGATAAACTTTTCAGCCATTCCATCCTAATCAGTACAGGGGAAATAGACTCCACCATGGGAAATGTGCTTAATATTTTCTAAGCACCAAGTTGGTATTAGAAAGAAATTAAATGAATATTTAGGAAGCCATTTATTCGAAGAAAAATGGCACAATTTAGAGAGGATATTTCTCAAATAATATTGCCGCAGCTCTCTGCAGAGAAGCTAGACTCCTACTTCTAAAAAGCAGCATTTTTAATTTGCGGGCGCTGATTTTGCGATTCTTCCTTTAGATTATATTATGCATTGTAGATAGTTATTTCATACTGAACCACCCTATTATTTCCTGCTAATGTTCACTGATTTTTTTTAATCACAAATGTAGCGATATTTCATTAATGATGCTTCTCTCAAAAGATG